CCTTGTTCCCTGATCCATAACTGTTGCTTGCTTTAGGATCCCCGCGGTAGGGCTCAGCATCGTTTCTGCAGACATCTCTGTGCCCGGTACTTTCACTTGTGAAAGCATCTTGCCACTCTGTTGCACAAAGTTCTTCTGATCCGCTTTTATCGCGGAATCAATATCGCTGACCTGAGCTTGCCTCGGCGTTGACTCGGAGACATAGCTGCGTCGTGGAAATTTCGACTGCGCTGGACAAGCAGCTGCTTGGAGGCGAGGGGCGTTAGCAAGGGCAGTGCTTGTCGAGAGGCGACGCGAGCATGACCTTGAAGCCTGTCGAATAGCTGAAGGTGCATATCCCGACATCTTGAGATTGATTCGGTCACTTTGAATCGGTAGCCGACCCGGAGTATCAGTTACTATTGATCCAAAAAGCAGCTCGACGGCATATCACGGCTCGATGGCAATCACGATTCATGGTAACTAATGACGATCCCAAAGATTATTTAGCGCTAATTTAGCTCAGATAAGTTACGGCTGAACCTCGGACGAAGCGAGCGGAAGCCCAGTAGTAGTAGTCAATGCTTCTGATCAATCTTCCTGCCGCGCATAAGATACATAACACAGAAGCATAGTCCAGCCCTGCATATATATCCGGATCGAAGGCATTCCCATACCCTTGATCGATTTCACTCTGCATACCCGTCTTGCTGGCGCAACTCCACCACAAGACGCAGCCGGTCAACCCTCACCGCAAGTGGCTGAGCATTCGTATGACGTTGGCCATTCTTGGCCCCAAGAAGATCGCTGCCTGAATCAAGAGACGGGATATTTCGACCTGCTCCCACGAGACTCAAACTCGCGGAGTATTCGGTGTCTGGGAGGAGCAAGCGGTATCAGCGCCTCTGTTGGAAGAAATATCCGCGACCGTCATCCGACCAGTGAGCCTGGATTGCCTCTACTCCCATTTTGACAATTCCGTGGTTATAATCAGGGGAGATGAGCTTAAAGGGAGTTGGGAGAAGCTTGACAAGAGCACCTCAGACTATAAAGCAGCGATTCAATATTGGTGACTCCACAAAAGATGCGGTCTACATCGATGCAGAGAGAAGATTCGAGGAGCTGGAGAAGGAGACGAAGAAGCTTCATTCGGAGTCAAAAAAGTATTTCGAAGCGATCAATGGTACTTGCTTCTCGTTCGTGGTCGCCATATCCGCTCACTGACCAAATCTCCAGGCATGTTAAACCACCAGATCGAATTCTCCAAGGCGGTACAGGAGATCTATAAGCCCATTTCCGGAAGGGTATCAGACCCCAACTCGATAATACCAGAAGGCAATCCTGAGGGCATTCGAGCTTGTGAAGAGTACGAAGCTATCGTCCGAGATCTTCTTGCAACCCTCCAGCCCGAACTTGAAATGATTGAAAGTCGTGTGATCGAACCTGCTCAGCAATTACTGGAAGTGATCAAGGTAATCCAGAAAGTCGCAGTGAAAAGACAGCATAAGCAGTTGGATTATGACAGACACCGCGCCACGTTGAAAAAGCTGCAAGATAAGAAGGATAAGACGCTAAAGGACGAAAAGGCTGTCTTCAAGGCAGAAAATGATGTGGAGCAAGCGACCCAGGACTTCAATTATTTTAATGATCTTCTCAAAGATGAGTTACCCAAGCTCTTCGCGCTCGAAGCGGAATTCATCCGACCTCTTTTCCAGTCGTTCTATTATATGCAGCTCAACGTCTTCTATACGCTACACGAGAGAATGCAGGATATAAATATTGGCTACTTCGATCTTACGCTAGACATCGAGGAAGCGTTTGAGGCCAAGCGTGGAACAATCAGGGAACAGACCGAAGCCTTGGGCATTGTGCGCTTCAAGACGACCGGAGGCATCAAAGGGCCGAGGGGGAGCAAATATGGCAGAAAACCACAACTAGCACTCGAAGACCGGAAAAACAAACCACTCGCCATTACAGACGGCTCCGAAACCTTGCCACCACCATATTCAGCCAGCCCATCGAAATCCACAACCACACCACCATTGATGGGCCACTCACCATCCATAGGCAAGTCCCCATCACTCGGCCACTCGCCATCAATAGGCCACTCGCCCTCAATAGGCCGCTCGTCCTCCGTCGGCCATAACGCCATGTCTGCAGCAATTGCCGCCAAAGGCAAACCACCGCCTCCGAAACCCAAACCGTCAAGATTATCGGGCGTGCCAAACGCGGAAACAGTGACGGCACTGTATGACTATGAAGCACAAGCAGAGGGCGACCTGAGCTTCTCGGCTGGAGAGGTAATCGAGATTGTCACGCGCACGGCTAATGAGAATGAATGGTGGATCGGCAAGATCAACGGCAGGCAAGGCCAGTTTCCTGGTGAGTTGGACTTTTCCATTCAACGCACACTCACACACACATACCCACTCTCTCTCGCGCACTCTCTCGCACATGCTGACGAGTTGTTCTCTTGGGGGCAGGAAATTATGTCAAGCTGAATTAGGAATTGCCGGTGTTATCTAAGACATGTATTACTTATTCTTCGCATCGTATGGAGACGTATTTGGTAGCGCAGGCTCTTCCAGCGTAAGGTGTAATCTGATAGTGGTAGAAGACATGACTACGAAGTATTAATGAGCAACAGCAAACCTTCCGAGTTTACTATCTTGAGCGTCATTTCCTGGTGCAAACTGAGTCAATGCCCATCCATGTAAGCGAGCTCGTCGTGACCACTTGGGGTTCGCCGGCGAAGTGTATAGGCTCTGGCCGCGCATGCCTTGTGCTCAGATCTAAATCCGTATTCCCTGAACATGAGAAGCCCGCCTTCCGGGTCCAACCAACCCTCAAGAAGCCGCCTTATCCATATCCACCTCGGCGCCCCTCTGCCTCGTCTTCCCCTCATCATGCCTCTCCTGCCACCTCCTCTGCTCGTCGCGATCGCCCACCAGCGCCGCCACCGCCCCGCCCATCGTGCCGGCCACGCGATCCCCGACCCCCTGTCCGAAATCCGCCAGCTGGCCCTTGGCCTCCTGCCCCTGGCCCTGGAGATTCTGCTCCCGGCCCTCGCGTTTCAGGCCCTCGCTGCCGACGAGGTTGCCCACCGTCTCCTTGCCGGAGCCGACGGTCTGGTCCCAGGCGCCCCGGCTGCGGTCGCCCGAGGACCCCAGCGTCAACGGCCCCACTTTCACCGCCGATTCCGACGCCGCGTGTTCGGCGGAGGCGTGGGCGCGCGTTTGTTCGGCTTGGGCCTGTGGGGAAAAGAAGGGGGGGGAGCTGGGTTAGCTTGAGGTTTTGGGGAATACGTGGGGAGATGGGAGCGTGGCAGTTTTTTTTCTTCGTCGCGGATTTGGACATGGTTCGATTGCAGGACGGATGCTGCTGTGTCAAAGAGGGGGGAAAGACGGGGAGGAAGGGGTCTCGTACTTTGTCGCTGGTGTTGCCGGTCAAGGAGGCGATGCCAGATTGGACGGCGCCGGCAGCGCTGTCCACATAGGATTTCAGGGTGCTTGGGTTGTCGTTGGAAGACATGATTGTTCTGTCGAGCGGGAAGATGTAGTGATGTTATGATGTTTCAGTGTATATCTGGATTCAGGAATCACTAATTGGTTGGTGGTTGAGTACAGAATAGTTTTACTTCAAGAATTGGATTCACTGGCCCAGTGAAAAGCATTGGACCCTTTAGTGGACCCTGGAGCCTATTGCATATGCCAAGCTTTTGAACCCAGATGACATCGGCATGTGACACTGGTGCAAGGCTGACATAGCGCAGGCTTGGCTTGCGAGTAATGGTGGGGTGGTTACACGAATTACTACGGGGCCTGAAGTAATGTTAGCTCAGGGCTAGTATCTTTCCTTGTAAACCCTCTCTGTACAAAACAGCTTTGCCCGAAAAGGGTTAGATGTAATGATTTGACTCATCAGAATGGATACACACAGAGCAAGCTTTGAAACGACGAATCATAACCCTAGAGATTTCGTAATAAGAACTAGCTGTTCTTAGCACCAGACTAACATTACTTCCGGCCCCCCGTAGTATTCAAGTACGAGGGGAGTCAGGAGCATCTCGAGGTATGTAGCCTTGAGCAAGTTTCTAAGGTAGACCAGCCACCAAATGTGGTATTTTTCCAACAGACATTCACCGCTTGCACCCACACGTTGTCCTTCGAAAGCCACCTTTTAATAGCCCTACAGTACGATCGGCATGCAGCAGTACAGGAAGAAGCCTGATGTGTCGCCCCCAACTGCACAGTGTAATTTGTGAACGAGTTACCTATTTCTTTGATGGTATTGCTGTAAAATGTCGTACACAAGACTTTGTGCTCCTTGACTCCCTAAATGATTATCCAGTGCTCTTGAGCACCTGCCGTGTGTACGCCTTCTGGACCACGGTAAGAGCAGATCAAGTCGACGAACCGAAAGTGGTGACCAAGGCGCTCACAAACTCCCCTACCGTAGCATGCTTCCTCTATCAATACTGACAGAGCCCACCCCCGTTGTCCTCCATATTCCAACTCCCAGCCATCCCAACCACCAGCCCACTCTCATCTGCTGGAATGTCATATCCCAACATACCTAATTCTCTCGCATAAGCGCGACTATCAGCCTCTATCTCGGCATCAGCCTGGCTCTTCCTGGCTCCACTCATCAATTTTCTCGCCCACGCGTTGATGGCCGGCTCGCCAGTCTCGTCGCGGGCTTGACGAAGAAACGGAATCAAAGCCGTACCGCCCGTACCGCGTAATCTCTTGCCCCCACTTCGTGAACCAGAGTTCTCGCTCTTCTTGCCACCGGAGTGATCGTATTTGACGGATGCGATGCCGGCGCCGCGGGTGGGGGCTGGCATGGCGCTGGGGTCTTGGTGACGAGTATGGCTCATGCTTCTCGATTCGCGGCTTTTAACGATGATGTACCGCGATACCATCTGGATGTGCTTGTCTCGGAGGGCGCGAAGCATAGCAAGACAAGCGTCGTAGGCAATACGGAGCTGGGTGTTGGAACGATGGGATTCGACATAATCGCGGATGTTGGCTACATTCTCGACTGCTTCTAGGAATTTCCGGTGTGGACCGGGCATGTATTGACGCATTTCTTGAATGAAATTGTGTCGTGCTTGTGGAGCCATGCCAGGCTCGGCTTCTGATTCTGAGCTCTCGTTTCGCTTTTCACCAGTAGGACGATGTTCGATGCCGAGAACAATATCGAAGAATTGAATTAGACTGCTTTGGGCGTTGCTGCCTCCGCCGTATTGGCGCCAGGTGGGATTCCCACTGCCATCGTCATATTTGACACCATGGGGCAAGCCGGCATCTCGCATGTTTTTGCTGCCTGCAAGATATGGTCGGATACGGTGATAGAAAACATGTGAATCACAATTTTCGTACATTCGTACCAGCAGACCGCCCAGGTCGTCAATTATTTCTGCGAACGATCGAAGACAGCGCATGACTTCCTCAGGCTGGTCACATCTTGCTGCGTTGATGGCATCCAGCATAAGCGGTATGGCAGGTCCTCCTCTTGCTTCCAATGCCACCGAAACCAGGTAAAACCATTGTTCGTCAAGGGAGCCGGTGAATGTGGTAAGGGTTGCAAGGTTGTCGAGAGTTAGGTTGTCGGAAAAGAAGATTGGCTTGTAGTTCCACAAACAAACTGCGGAGTATGTAGCGACAGGAGGCACGCCCAGATGGGCAGAGACTTGTAGGAGTGGATAGGTGATGGGAGGCGGTAATATTTCTGATGGCTTCTCGCCTCCCCAAATGTAGCCATGTGCCATGAAGGCCAGCATGCTGTATGCCCTGCGCCATTCTCGCTCTGTGTCTAGATGTGAGGTAGGTAAGACGGGTAGACGATCGATGACTGTCCGTAGGCGCTTGGACAGCAGCAGTGACTGGAAGTTGTTGATGATTCGTTCCCATTTGTCGTAGACAGGATGTGGAAGTCGTTGAAGCGGAAGTTCGGGAGGAAGGAAGCCATAGTTAGGAGATAGCCCATAGTCTTCGAGACGCGGAATGGGAGCAAGCATGTTGGCGGTCTTAAGATTGATGGTAAGGGCGAATGATCGAGTTCGAGAACTTATGTCAGTAGGTTATATGCCCGTTGGCCGGTGGTATATGACGATTTTTGTCCCCTCAACTCTGTATTTGCTTTGTCACGATCTACGATCCACGTCAATCAATGAGAAAAGACTGGATTGTTAGTATTAAATGGAATAAGTAGAAGATGGTTAGAGATTATGCTTTCATGAAAATGTTGTAGGGGCCAGTCTGAAACGTGGATCGAATAGGCGATGAGTTCACAAGAAGAGAGGAGGTTTGATGCAACGTGTGTCAAGTGAATTACCTGTAGACAAGGGGCATGAATCAGCAGTCTGTACGAGGACCTTAAGCATTATTTGTACAGGATCCATCGCAGATGGTGAAGGTGTGAGTAGTGGGCATATTGATCAACCGAGACGTCCGGTGACGGAGGATGAAAGATGTGTCGGAGTCCCCATTTATTGGCTTGTCCCTCGGCCGCTTAGGAGAGATTCGGCTCTCGAAATTTTCACCCCTGTGGTAGCCGCATTTACAGAGGTGCATACCAAGAGCTTTACCAAGCAAAGGCCCCGTGATAACGGGACGTTCTATCTCCAACATCTACTTTGCATTTGGTAATAAATACTCATGATCACTCTGCACTTGGAAGCTCCTAGAAACAATGAGGCGAATGAGAAGAAATTGCACCTGACCACTACTTAAGAAATGATTTGTTTGAGATTTCAGATGGAACGTGATCACTGATCACCTATGCTTAGGAACACCGTGCTCAACTACTGATTGAGAGTTTCTGGCGTAGTATGAGGTAGGACAGACGAGGCCAGGTTGATGCTTGTGTAGACAAAACTGAAGGAACGGTTACTCCTCCATCAACCATCAACCGAGTACCTTGCTACTGCGATGCCGTAATATCCAAGTGCATAATGTTTGCGCTCTTCTCCAAAGCATTGCACCAGGCAATGACAGTGATGAAAAGATTTGTTTTGTGTAGGCCAAAAAATACACCAGTCAGAACCCCGAAGGATGCTGAATAGATTCGTCTAGCCCGATGTGCAATGGACAGTCAAATCTATCGTGAACCGCATTCATGAGCGCGGCCACGCCAATAAGGTAAGTATGAAGAAGAAGAAAGAAAAAGAGGAAAATGTTTGGTGGAGGAGGCAGATATTTGTACTTGAGAGATTGGAGCTAGTGGCTAGTGCATCTGTTAGCATGGCCTTGGCACAAATCCAGGCAACTAGTACTAAGTAGTACTAACACAGTTTGGCAGCTTTCCGTCAAGCACGTGATATGGAATTTCTTGGGCTCGGTATTGAGTTGGGACAGGTTACATGAATGGTTTATTGATCCATCATCCAGGGCAATGAGGAATAGGGCCAGGATACCTCTAAGCAAGGCTGTGAGTTCATTCCATTCAACCTCTCCCTTTCGAATTGATAAGTTGACATACTATACGACTCTCAGAAAGTCCGACAATCATGGAGCAAATACAACCTCTACAATCTTTCGCGAATTGCCACACCACCCTACAAGACTCGAACCGTCTTTCAACAAAAATGGAGCGCCAAATCTATACTACGCGCTTATCATTCCGAGCAAGTCCGCGAAGGCATGTGGGAGCGCATGTTCTCCCGGCGACTGAGATCAGTCGTGCCGATGAACCCAGAATATCTTGCGATGAATGATGGATCACTAGAATCTGCTGGTAGAGGATCAGGACTGGAAACGCTTTTCGCGAAACGACATCCGAAAGCTATACCTTATATGCAGATGACATTTGCGCCATTAGAGAGAAGGCTAGACACAGCTATTTTTCGAGCACTATTTGCAAGCAGTGCACGGCAGGCAAGACAGTTTGTCGTCCATGGAGCTGTCAAAGTCAACGGGAAGAAGGTCGGTAGCTTTGTGCGGGTGCTTCTGCTCCTATACTGATGCGTCATAGATGAAGTATCCCGGCTATCTTCTTAACCCAGGGGACATGTTCCAGGTCGACCCTGAACGAGTCATGTTCGCTACCGGAGCCCCGAAAGGTCTACCAGACGTATCATCACCAGATGACCGAGCCGTATCGCGCTCAGAGGATAAAGAAGGCGCCGCACCATTGGAAAACCAAACCGAAGAATCTGACAAGGACGAAGACGAAGACGCAGAGGAGGAAGAAGAAAAAGAAGAAGACCCCCGCGAAGTCCTGAAATCCCTTCTCGCACAAGCCAAATCCGTCATATCCAGTCCAAAAGGCGGCAAGCTCAGCGCCAAACAAAAGCAGAACCTCCGAGGTTTCGCAAAGCAGGTCAAGCGTCAACTCTCGCGACGTGACTCCACCACAAGCAAAAGCCATGATCTGGAAACTCAATTCGAGGAGCTGAAAGCTAAACTCCTCCGCCAGCCCAATTTGCCTGCCTCAAAACCAGAAGACTCGTCCTCGTCGCCTAATGAAGATGAAGACGGAGAAAAGAAAGAAGAATCTACCACCACCCTCTCTATCTCCCCACCCCAACTCAACAGCGCAAAAGAAGAAGACTACTACGACGATTCAATGCTCGATCCAGAAGACCTAACCGCCCTCCGCGCTGCCCTTGCGCGCCTGCACCTCAACCCCATCGACCCCACAAAACCCTACGCCACGCCCTGGACACCTAGGCCCTACATGTCAGCCTTTGCGTTCATCCCCCCCTTCCTGGAGGTGAATCAGAACATCTGCGCGGCGGTGTATCTGCGGCATCCGGTGGCGCGGCCGGGGATGGCCGAGGTACCGACACCATTTGCGCAGGTGACCGGGGGGGATGCTTTCGCATGGTACTTGAGGAGAAGGTAAATATCAGAAGGGTCGTTTGCACAGTGCGGAACAAGCGCGGTGGGGGTTGTGTTGGCTTAGTAGTGGAGAAGGGGATAGAGGGGCCATCCTGTCTAGGATGCTTTGTCTCGGGGGTAGGAGGAGGACAAGAGGAAGCCATGCTGACAGGTCGGTCAGCTAGCATCGAAATGCATAGCATCTACTCTGGGCGGGCTTGCTCGATGTTCTTTCCCTGCACATTCAAAGCAAGAGTATAGACTGTACAAGTACCTACTGTAAAAACAAAGACAAAACAAGGACTTGGCAATCCAAGCAATCACAGAACATAGATAGCTTCAGAAGCATACCGTCCTACTACGGACTGACACATGCTGTCTCATTTACATCACCGCACTAGATCCATTAACCTGCTCGACGACGCTTCCGGTCGCTTGAAGCCGCCCAGGACTGGTCTCACCGGCCTCGGCGTGCTGAACAACGACAACTGCTGCGCCGTTAAAGGCTGTCGCATTGGACGCGGCGTGCTGAAAGCTTCGATGGGTGGTGGTGTTGCTGGTTTTCTCATCGGTTGTGAAATGAGTGGAGGCGCTGGCCGCACATGAGTCAGTGGTGAGTGGCCAAGGGAAGAAGGAGGTCTCGTGAAGGTGAAGGAGTGTGGTGAATGGACTAGGCGTGGATGCGATGTGTTCAGGCTTTCATGGGAAGCATGAACAAGTGGAGATGTTGCCGCCATGTGTTGATGGTGAAGACGTCGCTCTGGGCTGGGTACGCACTTGTCGTCCTTGAAATGATTTGTGGTGGTATCGGTATGCGGACATGGGATGTATTCATCGGAGCTGGCTGCAATATGGAAAGATGTTTTGCGGTGCGATATATGATGTGTGGTTTGATCACCAATTTCAAATCGGTCGTGGCCAAGTTGTGGTGCAATACGGTACGAACTTGGAGGTCTAGATGAGGCTGGATACCCCTGCTGCTGCTTCCTTTTGGCGTGGTTAAGGGGGGTATAATCCATAGGGAAAGCGCTGGTATGGCGACGAGCGGACAAGGAGCTCTTCATTGTGGAACGAGGAGGATCAATCCACTGATATCTCGAAACTCCTCGCTCGGGTGTATGATTCATCATAGAGGGGGTTTGATTAGATTTCTTGAATAAGCTTGGCGATCTTCGTAGTGGATGAAAGTTTGAATGTCTGGGCTGGGTAAAAAGATTCGAGATTGGACACAGCGGATTTCTATTAGTGGGGGGATGGGATGCTGTGGTGGCCGAGCGAGAGCTCGGAGTAGGTGACCCAACTACGGACGCTGCCTGTAAAGTAAACTGATCATCTGTCAACTCGACGGGCGACTGATCGTGAAAATCCGTCCAAGACTGCTCGGGAGAGTCATTCTCAACAGTCCTCTCGCGCTCTTGCTGTGTATTGCTTGGCGCTGCTATGTAACTCCGCTCGGTACGAGCTGGGTTGGTATAGACAGAAAGATTGAGAAGTCGATCATCTAGTTGGCCTTCCATAGGACTCAACTGACTCCAAAAATCTGTTTCTGGGGGTCCCGCTTTCCCTGATGCGACGGATTCTGCATCTGAATTCGCTACGCGCAACGTTGTATTAGCAGCTGTCTTGATGGTCTGAACAGGACTAGAGCTCCTTTGGTTCTGCAGCTGACTTGGTAGCAGCTCACGATCCACAGAGAGAGTGCCATCTTCACTAGAGTGATATTTGAGCCAACGTGGAGGGCGGCCCTGGACACTGTGTCCTTTTATTGGAGGATTCTCGTAGAAATGGTTGCTGATAGCGTTCATTTCATCTTGAAGAATGAATCTCATCCATGCTTGACTTTCATCACTGCGAGCTGTAATACCAGAACGACGATCACCTTGCGGAGCCTCTGGCTGCTGGGACTGTCCTAACCTTTGCCGCATGAAATTCTCCTGCCTGGGCTTTGCCTGTCTCAGCTGGACATGGATTGGTGAGTATTGCCTTGCTGCAAGCATGTCAGGGGATCTGGCAATACTTTTATGGACTCCTGCTGTTTCATTCATCCTTGTAGGGGGCTGCAAAGACTGGCCCATTTCAGGAAGTGCCCGCGGGATACCTTGTGCCGATTTATCACGATGCAGGTCTCCACCAAATGCTGGCGAACAAGCAGTCGAGTTAGACTCTCGCTCTTCACCTGCTGCACAGGCTGGTTGAATAGCCTTGTCAGTGCCATCACCAAAGAGGTTGGGATGAGAACTGTGGAGCGGAAGCTCTATTTGATGGTTTTGAGGGCTGGCACCCACGTGATCTTTTTCGCGACTTGGTGCGTGGACCACTCCTGCAGCTTCTGTCTCCGCTTCAACTTGCAGCTCCAGAGTGAATTTCAATCGGTCCTGGGTCTGGTTTTCGATCCCACCAAGTGCGACATGGTTGACTCCAGGTTCTGTAGCTTCAGGCAGTTCCCTAAAAGACAGTCTTTGATTGCTGGAGGCACGACTGTTTCTTACTCCATGATTCTCATCACAGCGACGATTGCTTGGAAGAAAGTCGCTTGATAGACTGCCTGGAATCTGTTGGGAAGAATTTTCGCCAATACGTGGACGCCGTCTTTGCTTTTTTGGTGTCGTGCGCAGATAGCTACCTTCTGAGCGCGGAGGTGTGGATCGAAGGAGGCGGTGTCCCATTATGATAGAGCTCGACCTCACCCCATCCGATGCCAATCTCCTATCCACTGCTCTCCGTTTCATAGTCTTTACGACTGTCTGCGAATGAGGTTGAGAACTCTGTTTGCTGACCGAGTCTGACTTTGCCTTCACTTCATCAAAGGTCTCACTGTCCCGCACCTGCTCTAATGATACCAATGACTTGTTTAGGCTGGCGTATCTGGGCCGCTCAGCTAACATCATAGATTCTGTCAAAGGATTTTCAGAATTACTCCTATCATAGATGGAATTGTGACAGGTAGGGACTTCTCTGTCGAGTAGCATGGATTCTGATGACTCGCTCTGACGTTTTATTGATGCCAGCTTCTTGAACGGATGTGGCATTGTTGTGGTCTGGCTCTGATGTATGTTTGATCCAATGCGTATGCTGACAACCTCCTTTTGGACATCGTCAGAGTGATGCTGGTGTAGGCGAGAATGAAGCGCAGGATCTGGTAGAGGACCAAGATAATATCCTGTTTGCGCAACGGCTCTCCGTTGCTTGTCCTCCGCTATAACTTTTCGCCTTCGGCCTATGCTTTCCAACTCACAAGTCGAGGGAAATTTCATACGAAGGGGCCGCGCTACATTAAGACCCATCCAATCAGAATGTCTCAGGAGACTACGTTTAACCCCGTTAAGAGTGTTTCTCTCCACTTCAGTAGACTTACGGCTCTCTTTCTCCGAAACTGGCTGCGCGTTCGACTCGGTTGTAAAGTAGCGTTGATGTACGTGAGTTGGTAGTTCCGAACCACTGCTCGAATGACCGGGGCTGATATTGGGCTGGCGATCAAAGCGTCGACGCTTGGTACTGAGCCCGCTAGAGGCTTCGCGAGGGTCAATCACTTGTCAGACCGAGTATATGTGTGACGTACCTAGCTCCTCGGGAGAGTTTCGTCTCTTGATGCCCCGGTGTTGATCTTGATCCAACTTCCCGATCTGCTTGAGTGGCACTTTGAACGCTGAAAGTTGTAATGGGGACGGAACACGACGTCCGTTCTGTTGTTGCAGTCTTGCTTTCGCAAAGTGCTGCTTCTGCGCCTTAAGATTGGCGTTGGCGTGGGCTTTCGAGTGGCGCTGAAGGCGGCCACCGGTCCAGTTCATGATAAGGATAAAAGATGACGATATAACAGGATAGGAAATAGACTAAAGGGATGAAATGAAAAGCGAGATTACAGCTGTAAGGTTAAGAGAAGATGGTTCAAAGTTCAGAATCCGTGGCTATAAGTCTGAACGAGCCGTGGCCTTAATCATTAGGAGACGACTTCCATCCCAGAAGGTGTGGGTGCCCTCCCCAGATGCACCAGGAAAACAGTGCTGCTTCTTCGGCTGAAGGTCTGAAAATCCCAGGATATTTGCTCAGATGTTTGAGAACACGGTTCTTGGACGGACTCGAGTTCAAGCCGGGAACTGCCCTGACAACAGAAATGCTGCAAAGAAATGTAGAATCGCTAATCACAGGTACTCGACTATGAAAGAACTTCAGCAATTCAGTTGGCATCTGCCACAGTCGAAGAACCCTCCAGCGTCCTCTCAGTACACCTCCCCATCAGAAAAGCACCGAAGGTGTCACTACTGATTTCGGCCCACAGATGCAAGCTTTGTAGAATAAATGCTAGCCTACCAGACAAACAGTGCAAACGTCGCAGGCAAGATTTAAGCTACTAGTTAGTAGGATGAGGCAAAAGAGAGCCTCGCTAACAATTGGAATCTTTAACTCTCAATATTTCACCCACAAGTAATTTCTTGCATCGAAAGGCAAGCAGAAGTAGTCTCCTGCTACGATTTCATCTATATCCATCATAATCTTTTCGAGAATCAGTCTTGCGTCTCAGTAAAGGCTTTCCCTGGTAGGTCCTGATGAGTAGCATTCTTCCCTTCCGGTTGTCATTTCCATGATGATTTTGAGGTTCAAAGCATAGTTCAGCTGAGGTGTAATAACCCTTGAACGAGAAAACTCCATCCTTAGTTCTCTGAGATTGTTCTGTATCTGGTCCACTCTACGAAGTACTCTTGCATTGTTGAAAAGCTAAGCAGCTCATAGGGTCCATTGGACACATTGATTGGTCGCGAGAGAACACGTTGATGTCCAACGGGCGAATGTTTACACGTTTTCCGACTCCTTTATCTTGACCTGCCCTTGTGCGGAGGATGCTGCCGTTGTCAAGCTGAACAAGTCAGTTGGGTAGCTGCCCTACCTTTCCAGAGATCGCGATGGCCTCCGAATACGATTCTGCTGGCGTAAGAGCTAAGTTAAGAATGAACAAAACTCCAACAAGCTTCATTTGTTGCCTGCAGAGCCAAGATTCTTTCACAGGCTCACCATCTTACTTAGTTATGAAATCGATCATGGGACACTACCATCAATGCAGGCCAACCATTTCAATCACAAAGCCCGCCAGCTGACGGAGTTTTCCTGCCTAATCAATGCTCAGCCGGCGACATTCTCGGCTCTAAAGCTACAGGCCAGCTCGGCTAACTAACCATTTCTCCAACACCTTAGGACTACGTAGATGGTGGTTTTGGTACGCGTGAACCTTTTGGTTTGTTTGATCTTACTGGTTTGAGATAACTCTGAAAGTGTTTGGTGTTGTCTGTGATTAAACAGCGTTGTTTGCATAGTACGGTATCAGGCTGAACTTTGTACCCCCCGCGTCATAATTTCTTACCAAACGCCCTCTTTACATACACTTCCTTGTCAGCATCCCTGTCGCTATTTTGCACGCAGCACGCTCATCCTGCTCATATTGCAAATTTTGCTCATCCTTCGAATATCCTACGAATTCCACGCGTTCTGCACATTCTACGAGCTACGAATAGCTGTTAAAGCTGTGTGGGATGCTGTACCTTCTGACTATCTTGAGGAGCTGCTTCAGTCGATGCAGGCAAGATGTCAAGCAGTTATATATGCCAGGGGGATGCAAACTCGATTCTAGAGACTAGCTCTCTTTGGGCCATTTCGTGGGCGTCTGTACTCAATTCTGCGTAGTGAGTTATTTACGAATACCAGCGTTTTCATCAGGGGGTACGAGAATTCCGCCTGGTAGCGTAGTAGTGGATACAATATATTTCTGTGTCAGCCGCAGTAGTACAGCACACTACCTATCGCAAGGTTGTAAATACGCTTCCTGAGGGACCGTTTGGGAGATGATGATGCAGAGACTCACGGCCCTTTGGTCGGCTGCAGAATGCCACGTCAACGCTATAGACAATTGGTCGGGGATGCGGATCCAATCTGCATCCGTGCAGCTTTCCATCACTCCGGCCTGCAAGTCCATCACGTCTACCCTTCCTGGAGATCGAATCACTCTTTAGGAAGCCCCTGTTGATCTTTCTTGGCCATAGCTGCAATGATTTGACTCGTCCTGATCTGCGCCAGGTGACAGAAAGTTGGCAGCTGGCGGCGGGGATGGAAGGCAACCTGGGTCGCTTTCGCTAGTGGCGCATTTGGCTTGCTGCCACCGTCTTTTGGCAGCGCTGTCCTTCTTAACCACCTCCATGAAGCTTAAAGCCCCGTTCCCCCTCCTCTTCGCCGATGTCTTTTCCTCTTTCCCCAGCACATCATCATTCTTTCCTGCTTTGTCATTGTACAAACAAGGTTCCAGTCCTCGATCATCAACTAGTCGTTTTGTGTGCGCTGAAGCTTGCTGCAACTCTCCTTCAACCTTGGACATTATCCACCTCAGGACAACTCACTCCAGGATTGCAAAGCCAGGCTTCTGTTTCTCGCAGTTTTCTTTTCTGTTTGACCGAATCATCAAGATTTGCGCTGGACTTGGGCTTCCTGCCTTTACCCTCAACGACAGACTTTGCATCAAACGTCAGGTAGTTCCCTCTTTCTTTTCTTTCTTGCTTGCCAAATCCTGGATATCTGCCGAGGATAGTCTCAGCCATGGACCATTCTCAGGACGCTCTCAATGGTCTATGAGGAGCCTGTTCGCTCGTTACGGGCTCGGATACTGGAGGCGAATACTGGAGCCCCGCTACACCTGATTTGCGATAGCCATCGCGTGGAGAAATCAGCTTGTATTCAAAACAATGAACAAATGTTAATGATACATTTGCCACACTGGATCAATCTGAGGCCGGACCTTGACCTGCAACGCTCCCTCCGTTGGACTAATCTGTTATGCTCAGCTCGACTTGTCGCGCATGATATTCAGCAAAGCACTTTTCATTCACGCTCTTTTCTGCTCCACCCCAAGGTACTCTTCATTTGGAAGCAGCTTTCCAATCTACGCGGCAAGAGGTTGAACAATCAGCATTCGATGCTGCGTCTGTTCTAAATTGAAGGATTTCCAACCATTCCAGAACCTTTCATCCTGGGACCACGAGTTCTCTTCTCACTGTTTCCGGCTCTTTTGGGCACCTGTCTTGCCATGAAGGGCTGTGCTCTCCACTTAACCAGGAATCGACCCGCCACATCGATCAGAGGACCACTGAACGGCCCGGAGAAATCTCCCTCGATACCCCCTCTCTATCCCTGCAGGGAGCCTATGGATGACCCTCTGCTATTATCTCCTTCTGCTTTCCAGGAACTGTCTGACTGCCAACCCTACCTTTACATCTGGCATCATACTGGCATTTCCGCCTAGGCATGGTCGGTTTGTAACCTTGCCTTGATGTGTTTACAGTTACTGACTACCACCAGACCCGGATCCCCCTCGATTCTCTTTGCTCAGACATGCCTTGCACCTTAGCTATTGGTGGTTCCTACTGACCATTTGCATCACAGGACTTGCAATAGAGGTCTCGCAGAGATTCGAGAACATGCCTACCAGACTCGTCTCGAAATCCTCAACTCAGTCACGTTCTACCCGTGATTCAAGACGATCCTCAACCAGCCAGGACAAATCGTCTACCACCACAATGGATAACCCGGATGCTGCTCAGCCTTTCTTTTCTCTTCCTACAAATCTTCCGCAAAGACACGGTGACCGCGAACGTGAGATTGTCCAATGGATTGCCGCAAAAGACGAGTTCTCCTATACAGACCCCAATTATGCACCCGAGCAAATGTACTTGACAGGATCAGATGCGTCTTTCTTGACAGAGGACTTGCCCACCACGACAGGAGCATCTTGGAGCACTGCACTGCCAATGGACAACCTCGTCCTGGAGCAATGCCAGCCATTCATGAATGATGAACCCTATCGGCTTTCCAGTACTAGTGCACCCATGACCAGTGGATCTCAGCCCTTTTTTGATGCCCTGGCTATTGAACCTGCAATCAACTTATCGAACGCACCATACTCAGGATCAATCACTCTTGGCACTGGGATGACCGACGGCTCTTTCAAGCACGACTTTGCTTCCGGGTGTATTTCTTATGATTCTAGTAGTTCTATCTATATGTCCCCACCCGTGTCTCCGGGACTGCAAGGGCAAACCTGGCCGGAGGCGTCCAATGAATACGGCACCAGCGGTGATTATGCCACTCATGGAGCTGCGGCCTTTTATCCTAATTCTGATGGATTTTCGCATCCACCCTCCCCACCTATGTCGGACGGTGATTCTCATGCTGCCTTGGTATCAGGTCGACAACCTTTGAGCGGAGGCCAGCTCCCACTTGATAATACCATACAGGTAGCCGACAACTGCAACATCAAATGCTCTCGAACAGGCTATCGCCACCTTGAATCTGCCATGATCGGAAATGCGGTCAAAACCTCTGGCACCACTGATCAGAAGTACGCCTTGCCCAGCCGTCCAGCCCAGAGGGTTCTCAAGCCTGCGTCAGAAAAGCCAAGGGGATATGACCAGGGAACACAGCTTGCAACATCATCTGCCCATTCGAAGCTCAAGGAGAAGCCGGAAACCGCCCAGCCACGGAATCATCATCTGTACAAAGCCTCGCCAGGAAAGGATGGACTATTTCGCTGCCCCTTTGCCAAAGACAACCAATGTGCGCATGTGCCCACGAAACAAAAGTGTGCCTATGAGTGAGTTGTCTTCCTTGCGGCTGTGCGCGAACCCAACTGATCAACATAGCAAATATCTGGACTCGCACTTGAAGCCTTATCAGTGCAAACATGCTGACTGCCTGGGCCTCCAATTCTCCTCAAATGCTTGCCTTTTTCGCCATGAGCGTGAAGCACATGGAATGCATTTCTATGGGAAGAATCCTCACCGCTGCCATTACGCTGGATGCGACAGAGCTATCGAAGGTTTCCCACGCCGCTGGAATCTACATGACCATATGCGACGTGTTCATAAACATAATCCCTCTCAGCTCTTGGAAAACAAGGAGGACTTTTCCGGCTGTGAAGTACCCAGCAAGAGAAAGGGGTCCGATGCCCCAGCATCATGCCAAATGAAGCGAACAAGCTCTTCTCAATCCAAGGCCCGCGTTGCGTCGGCCAGCTATTCTCGGGATGATCATGAGGTATTGGATTCAAGATACCATGCCAGGCAAGCACAACCCCGACGATCGAGTCATGTTCAGACCTTCGACCTGGTCAACCAACAAAACATGGACTTTGCTAGTCCCTTTCCATCAGGGTTTGAACACCTTCCGTATGGCAACAATGCTGCTCGCATGTCCTATGGCTTTTCTTATTCTGCATAAAACCTGGTACCCCCTGTGAGATGCCTGTGGCTTTGCTTTCCCAGAAATATGTCCAATGGATGAACCTGCCATGGATTCAGCACATGGTCCAATACGCGTCTTGACATTAGAAGTGGAGCCGTGAGCAGAGTTTTCAGAACTCTTAATCGTGGATTTTCACAGTTAGCAAACAATGTTTTCTCGGTCTGTGGACCAGTCACAGCCGGACGATATAAATGCAATCCCGCTTGGAAACCCCTGGATCAGCACTGGTTCTCGCACAGCTAGCATGCCAAAAAATGTGAACGTAAGATCTATTAGGATCTCATGTTCCTCGGAGATATCTTATTTTGTTCTTATGTTTTCGAATCTTCTGGACTTCGGCCGCTGACTGAATACTACCCCGTTCTCCTGCTGGTCGGTGTACTGATGATTGCTTCTTGATTCAATATTGCCTGCTGTGCTATTTTGGCTGGTTGTTTTGATCACTTTTCGTGCAAGATACCTGGTCAATTAGTGCAGGGCCAGGTTCGGCCAAAAGGCAAAAGCTTGGTCTTGTTCTTGGTGTATATATTACCTAGCTACCTCTAGAAGGAGCTCTAACGATCAACGACGCAATGTATGTAGAATTCTCCCCAGTTCGCTCGAAAAGCTGTGTAAACCGCCCATGTTAGATCTAAGTAGTTAGTCCCATTTCTGCTGAGGTCGGCGCAGGGAAATTGTTGGCGCTTCCAGGGAGATGCTCAGGTCAAAAAGTACCTCTACCGTTAGTGGCCTACCGGACTAATCCAGTTACCCCAAGGGTGAAGACACTACACTCTACCCCAAGAGTTGATCTGCAAGTGGAAGGAAAATTCATAAATGTGCTGACCCCTTTAAGCAAAGAATGCCCGTAAGCTCTGGCCACAACATTGTGTCTCTTCTGACATCTTCATACCACGCAGCTTATCATCATTACCGGCTATCCTTGCTCTGGAAAGACCCACCGAGCCCGTCAGCTGGTAGTAGCGTTGCAAGACCAAATCGCTGGTGCGGTTGAGCCCAACGCCCAAAGCAATCCGAAGCTCGCTTTGGTGCACATTCCTTCCCATCACTCTTCTATCTATCAGCTCTCTACAAATGGAGATTACCCGAATCGGGACTCGATTTATAGCTCCGCAGCACTCGAGAAGACAGCCCGCGCCGCCGAGCTGAGCACTATTAAACGGGCTTTGTCGAAAGATGCCATCGTTATTGCCGATGATCTGAACTATATCAAGGGATTTCGATATCAGCTATGGTGCGAAGCAAAAGCTGCTGGCACAAGATGCTGCACTGTACACTGTGCAGCGAGAGAAGATCAGGTAGAGAAGTGGAATCGTGCAAGGCTGGAGCAATGGGCTGGGTTGAAAAGTGGGGACATACCAACAGCAGACAACGACACGACCAGAAGTGATGGGCACGTCGAAAACCAGGCAAACCCAGAGATTAGGTATCCAGAATCACATACAGCATTGTACGGAGACAAGATACCCGAATTGTCATCAAGATCAAGAAGCTCAAGCGTGGACGCTGATGATGGAGAAAGAGTCGCGTTTCGACCCAGCATACTCATAGAAGAGTCTTTGAGGTCCTTTTCCCTCGCTGACCAATCCTCTATATCCACAGGAAAGCCTTCTCCTCCGGGGACGGCGGAAGACAACGGGTTTCCAAGCCGCAATCCAGAAGAAATCCCTGCATCTGCGAGGTTCGACTTTGTACCTCCAAGCTCACCTCCTTACTCGCAAAAGACTTTACAGTCCCTTCTCATGCGCTACGAACCTCCCTCCCCCTTCTCTAGATGGGATACCCCACTGTTCACTGTGCTTGCAAGCGATCTGATGCCTCCCATCTCCGCTATCTGGGATGCAATATTTCCTCCTAGAACACCCAGTACTATGCGAAAGGGTGTAGTCAGTGAGCAGAAAGCACAGGTCAAGCCTCATGCTGCGACCGTCCTTCCTCAAGCCACCGGGCCGGATGCCTTGCAGGTTTTGGAAAGGGTAACCTTAGATGTGGTGACACAAATCATGAAGTGCGCCAAAGAATTTCCAGAACTAACAGACGAGGGAGGTGATGTCACAGTCAAGTGTGCTGATGTTGTAACAACGCTGCCTGTACCGCCAGGGACGATTCTGAGTCTTCCAATGCTACAGCGACTGAGAAGGAGATTTACGCAGATACAGAGAGGTGGCATTGCTCATGGCAGAGGATATGTGCAAGGAGAGGAAGCCATCGGGGAAGCCTTTGTGCGCTTTCTGAATGGGGAGATAGGGGCTTGATGCATTCATTGCAAGAGGGGCTGATGATCTGAAAATCCCGAGATAAGGGATGTGACCATGTAGCCCGTAGATTCGGGGAGACCAGGGGCCGGAGGGCATTTAGTTCTAAGGAGGCATCCGCCAAGACATAATCCAATCCTGCCCTGTAGTATGAAGAGCTTTCTCGTGTTCCTTGGTACCTGCGGAGTGCCTGCCTTGATTAGAAGTGCCAGATCACTCATATGAAAAAGTACCGTAGCTTGCTTACAGCGACCTTGAAGGTATGGCCCCAACTGAAACCCAGTTGGGCATGGACTTTTCTCGTTACAAAGTGGATTTACTAGCCCAAGCCCCACTAACCACCTCGGTGCACATTGCATTTTGGGTATGAAGCCATTTCACAACTTTACAAAAGCTTATTCTACGGAGGCGTGCGTCAAAAACATTTGCTAGCGCCAATTTTTAGCTTTGCATTGGTGGATATCTAGCGTTCCTCTAGCTCCCATACTAATTTGTATGGCTAACGCAGGAATCGCACACACTATGAATTCCGCACACAAAAAAGCAGAAAAACAACAGAAAAACAACTAAATAGTAGATATGACCCCACAAAGCAATCGACGTGCTATTCCTCCGAATCTTCCTCCTCCTCCTCCTCCTTCTCCTCCGAATCCTCCTCCTTCTCCTCCTCCTTCTCCTCCTCCTTCTCCTCCTCTGAATCCTCCTCCTTCTCCTCCTCTAAATCCTCCTCCTCCTCAGGCCTCTGCCTCTGCCTCTGCCTCTGCCTCTTTCCGATATAGCATCTCTCAGCGCGTTTCTGTGCTTGTACTGCAGATTGAAGGACTCTCTTGGCAAGAAATTGAGCAGAAAACAGGTGTCAAACAGACAGCTCAATCTTATATTCGAAAGAAGGCAAAGCAGCGTGGATTTCAGCCTGAGATAGATCCTCGAGTTCTTGATAAATATGTTATTGATGAGAAGCCTTCTGGTAGGCCAAAAGAGATCTCTGAAGATGTAGAACACCAGCTATTAGCGAATGTTCGAGCAGATCGAGCAGGTCGAGAGAAATCAAGCGAAGTTCTTGCTTATGAACTAAATATTAGCTTTTCAAGTGCTCTTCGAATTCTACGCAAGCATAGCCTTACTAGTGTTAAACTAACACGAAAACCTGGCTTAAATGCTGCACAGAAAGCCGCACGAGAAGGATAATCTAATAAGATCACAGCCGCCATCACATCTACTGAGCCACGACAGAACAGCACGTTACCCTCTTCGGTATCTTCGCCAGCATCCGCCCGTGAATCATTGTCTAAGATGAGATCTACTGATCAGACTACTTCGTGGAAAGTAGATAAGTCGGCTGATGGCTGAGCCAAGAAAAGTCTCTGCTTTGACCTTGCAGTCCGTACGTCTTGCTGTGGAGGCCCCCTTGGTTGCATATTGAGAAATCAGTGGTAGTAATTCAAACCCGGTATTCGAGAACGATCACTCCGACTCCTAGGTCAATTCATAAGCACAAATCTGTACCAGAGGACGAGCTCTGGCAACACCAGATGCGCAAAATACGGACAGCCCTGACAACAATCCATTTCTTCACGAGGCCGGGGGAATGGTCCCAGGTATGGTTTAGTCCATGCGGGTGTCGTCAGTGGCAGGAATCAATCCAGACCTAGGTACAGTCGACTACTACTCTATAACGCCAAGCCGCAGCAAATATAACACACTGCATGTCACGATCCTTGGGAAAGACGTCTGGGATTGATTCCAGGCTGTGTGCTGGCACGCTTGTGCGGATGGGGACCAACTTCAACTGTAATGACGGTGTTTAAACAGAGGCACTGAGTATAGAGAAGGCGAACAAGCATTCAAACGGAGTTAGGCAGGGCAGAGGGTCAAGGGTAAGCTCTCAAAACTGCAGTTCAAGGACGGATATCAAGTGGATATTGAGTAGCATAGGCAATTCCTGAGTTAGCCATACAAATTAGTATGGGAGCTAGAGGAACGCTAGATATCCGCCAATGCAAAGCTAAAAATTGGCGCTAGCAAATGTTTTTGACGCACGCCTCCGTACATAGTACATTCCTATACCCCGCTTCCGTTGACCGGACGATTACCCATAATTCCACTGACGGGCTTGAACACCATGGACATATTCATCGAAGCTCCATCGAACCTCGTCGGTCATGGCCAGCATCGAAAATCACGAATCTCTAGAAGGGAGGAGACAACAGCCAGTATCGGCGTATGACTATGAAGACGATGTCCACGAAAGATGACATCCTCCAGGCCTCGAGAGACGTTCAATATTTATGATTATACACTACCTTCCGTTCTCTGCCAACTCGACAGCAAGACAGTTTAAGAGTCTGGAATATGAGGGTGGGGTCCGAGTCCTGACGAGCTGTTCGAGCAATGGACTTCGGCGCAGCCGATATCACGGAAAGCTCCTTGCCAAGCTCGAGCGATAGGCCAAACGATGCTACAGCAGCCAGAAAAGAGTTGAAGGGCTACGAGGAACTGCCGGGGACTCTAGGAACGAAACATGACGGGAAAGAGGTCGAACAGTCATTACGCCGAGTCCGGACACTGGGAAGATTGAGGTTCAGGCCTGCAGATGACGATGAGCCTCAGTGGGTGTAGTTGCCCTTGGTCTGTCAAATGTGCTGAACTCCTACACAGGGATTGGTGGTTCGCTTCGACGGCAATCCCGCTTATTGCTGCTACCTTTGCGCCTATGGCCAATGTCATGTCAATCGCGGCGCTGGTTACTTCCTGGCGGAGCGACCTACGTGGTGAAAGCAGCGTACCAGCACAAGCAAACTCGACTGGAATACCGGATCCACGTTGGTAAGCAATATTCGTGCTGGAAGTGGCTTTGGAGAAAAGATTAACCTTCGCAGGTGCATCACTCTAAACGCGACTTCATTAGCCTGTGGATTTATCGGCAATTTGTTCCTCCTGTTCAACTTCACAAGGACTATTCGCTACGTTATATGCCTACCAGCTACCGTGATGTCGTTCTATTTTGCAACAGGAATATTGATAGGCATCACATCTTCAATGAATGATTACGTACCGCCTGGGCCTGGCGAGGTTTATTCCCAAGGCTTTTGGCATGCCATAATTGCTGCTTGTCTGTATCTGTTTTGTTCAATGATATTAATGATCAATATGTTGGGCTACTGTTTGGGACATTACCCACAGCATTTTACCTTGACCGATGAACAGCGCAACTTGATTCTTCAGACTATGATGTTCTTCATATGGCTGGCTGGTGGGGCTGGCATTTTTGCCAGAACTTCTGATGAATGGCAATTCGTGGATGCCTTATATTTCTGTGATGTCACCATCCTTACGGTTGGCTTTGGCGATTATTATGCTCCAAATGGTGTCAGTCGAGGATTGGTATTTCCCTTTGCGGTAGGCGGCATCATCATCCTCGGTCTTATGGTCAGCAGCATACACAAATTCGCACGAGATTTGAGCTATGATTATGTTATCAGAAAACACATGGAGGCTCACCGTCAACGCACCATCACCCGTGCTGTGAGCTCGTCGACTGATTTGCAGAGGCAGAATGACATCGAAAAGAAGATTGATTGGAGTCACAATCACCACCCGACAATCTCAGGACCCTTGGCGCCGCCAAACCAAGAAAGTCGGGGTGTACGGAGAGTGACGTCGAACAGTGATTCTGAAGGTCTTGCTCCGTCAAGTTCTACACTTGAAAGATACCATGAAGGAAAAATTCATCGGACCATCAAGGCGGTCAGCCAACCAGTAAAGACTCTACAACGTGCACGGTTGAGACAGCCAAAGATAATTCTAATGAGGGAAGAGAAGGACCGTTTCGAAGCAATGCGAGCGATTCAAATGAGCGCCTCCAGATTCAGGAAATGGTACGCGCTGAGTCTCTCGGTCATTGCTTTTGGTCTTCTATGGTGCGTCGGTGCTGTTGTGTTCTGGGTAGCTGAGCAGTCAACACAACAGTTGACGTATTTTCAGTCACTCTACTTCTGCTATGTCTCACTGTTGACTATCGGCTATGGGGATCTCTCCCCAAAGTCAAATGCTGGCAAGCCATTCTTTATTGTTTGGTCCCTTATTGCTGTTCCAACAATGACGATTCTTATCTCTGATATGGGTGATACTGTTATCGCGTCCTTCAAACGCGGAACCTTCAGGCTTGCAGATTGGACTATCTTGCCCAAAACGGGCCTCCACCACCCTTTACTGCGGAAGAGTCCTTGGATCAGAGATTGGCTTCAGGGGAAGGTAGAAAAGAAGCGTGTCGAAAAGGGATTTCCAGTCGGCCCCGACGAAAAGCAAGAAAATGGCCCTTCAATAGAGGAACTCGCTGATCCTGAGAGCTATAGCGATGCTGAATTGACACATCTGTTAGCATTGGCTATCCGCAAGGTTGCGGATGACCTGAAGAACCCGTACCCACGGAGATACAGCTATGAAGAGTGGGTTGAGTTCACCCGCCTCATACGCTTCACAAGCCGTACATCCGAGCAATTGGAAGACGAAGAATCCGAGGGCGTCATTGAATGGGACTGGATAGGAGACGATAGTCCCATGCTCAGCGATCAGAGCGAGGCAGGATGGGTCCTTGATAGACTCTGCGAGAGTCTCATCCGCCTTCTCAAGAAGGATAATCTAATAAGATCACAGCCGCCATCACATCTACTGAGCCACGACAGAACAGCACGTTACCCTCTTCGGTATCTTCGCCAGCATCCGCCCGTGAATCATTGTCTAAGATGAGATCTACTGATCAGACTACTTCGTGGAAAGTAGATAAGTCGGCTGATGGCTGAGCCAAGAAAAGTCTCTGCTTTGACCTTGCAGTCCGTACGTCTTGCTGTGGAGGCCCCCTTGGTTGCATATTGAGAAATCAGTGGTAGTAATTCAAACCCGGTATTCGAGAACGATCACTCCGACTCCTAGGTCAATTCATAAGCACAAATCTGTACCAGAGGACGAGCTCTGGCAACACCAGATGCGCAAAATACGGACAGCCCTGACAACAATCCATTTCTTCACGAGGCCGGGGGAATGGTCCCAGGTATGGTTTAGTCCATGCGGGTGTCGTCAGTGGCAGGAATCAATCCAGACCTAGGTACAGTCGACTACTACTCTATAACGCCAAGCCGCAGCAAATATAACACACTGCATGTCACGATCCTTGGGAAAGACGTCTGGGATTGATTCCAGGCTGTGTGCTGGCACGCTTGTGCGGATGGGGACCAACTTCAACTGTAATGACGGTGTTTAAACAGAGGCATTGACAGATTCTCTTCTACGACAAGAGTATAGATCGATACATAAATCTATACCCACATATTATGAGTGGGCTATCGGATACCCTGGTCTCTCTGGAACAGGCTTACTGGTGGTGATTTGGCAAGCAGTCGGGGTTGCGGTTAACAATGAGTATACTTAAGTGGGCACATTGAAACCTGGTAGACGAAATAACTCTGGGCAGACAATTTTGTCAAATTTTGAGTCTTGGCGGACAAGTCCGAGATAGATTTTGAAGTTTTCTCTGAGGATTTACACTGCGAAACCTCTGTTCTCATTATCGGCTCATCAAGGAGGTTCTCTCTCCCATCGGAGCACCATTTATTCAAACACCTCATAAAACGTATTTATCTCAGTAAAATGATTGTATACTACGCTCACCGACACATTCAGCGGGTTCGCTTCTTCGCTCCATCGCCATGGATCATGACCTTTCGTCGATGCCCCGAAAGTCTCCTAAAGCAGCTAATGATGGTTGGGAACCCAAGATTCACAAGACGGACAAAGGCTTCCGCAGGCAGTTCTACTTCTTCTACGGTTCCTTGATGGGCTCTCAAATGCTTGAAAGGGTCCTGGGGCTTGAATCCAGGCCAGAGATTGGAGATATGACTAACAATGTCTTAATATTGTCGTTCGATGTTTGTGCCACATCTGGCGAAGTTAGATGTCCTTGCGATATTCTTTGTGTTGAATCAAATCTCAGGTTCTAAAAGGAACAGCGCCTGGTCAGCAATGAGCTCGTACACAATATACCTCTTGCTTTATTGCCCTCCAGTTCTTGAAGATGAAGTTAAGTTCAACTGGGTGCCCATTTACGAACGTACTAACAGGACCTCATATTGCCCCTAGGTGACTTATTAGATGCAGGGCGCTTTACCCCTGGTCGGCCATTTACGATCAAGCGCACAATACTGTGGAACATTGTGGCCTGATGTGACCTTATAAATGCTCGTTGCAGCCTTTTTTCTAATAGCCTTGGGAAGGTAGGAGATTCTTGGTTGGTTAAATCGTGGAGACCGAGATTACCCTAATCACCATGGAGGGAGTTCATCTCTCGCCCTTACAAGATTTCTACACCACCGCTAAACCCGAGCAGCCAAAAATTCGCCGCAAACGTGTATCCTCGGATCTACCACATAAGCCTTATCACGCAGTCCAGGTCAACAAAGAGCTAGACTAAGCGCCAACTACGGGATTGGACACAGAAACTGAGCCATGCGTGAACAAGGGCTGGCCTAGTGAGCCCTATTGCTTGGATGAATGGACGTGGATGAGATATATCATACTAGGCGCAGACATCATCCAGACTTGCCATTCCCCTTTCTTCTCAATACTTGGTATCAATGCGCTGACCCTTGATCGGAAACCGCTCTCTTCACTCGGAAATAACATTATCGCTGACACAGAGATTGGTCCAACTATCTTACCCATCATCTTTGCTGCAGCTGTAGGTAGGCTCATGAGAAGTATCGCTCGTTCGAAGGCCGAAAAGGTACGCAATTGGATACGCTGGAGCGACTTATTGGGGGTCAGATGATACTAAGAACAAGGTATCCTTCCTCAGTTCAATGCCAATTCAATGCCAAAATCAGGTTCAAATCCAGGACTAATTTAGGGACAATCTTGAACTAGACCTAGGGTTAAATCAAGCGCGCAAGAAGCAGTGTAACATCTAGAAACCTCTAAATTGCTAGGGTCAAAGACTTTAGTTAATAGTAAAAATAGATCAAGTAACAACTGACGTGTAGATCGCTTTATTTTGTGGACACGGCTCAAGTATAGCATTGGCCGTCAGTGAAGTTGAAATTTGAATTGGCCATTTAGCTTTAACAGCCCGCCATAGCGACGTCAAATTAGCAATTTGGGCTTTGGTTTGGGCGAGAACTTTCAGTTGGTGAAAACTAGCAGTGCTCATTCACCACTTTACGTACTAGTACGCAACGACCCCATCGGTCCGGAGCTTCGATTCGTCGTCTTCCCTGTTGCAATCTGATTCACCGGTTGGCCATAATCTGCTGTGCTATCTAACCGAACAGCATGCATGCAGCATATTTGCTTACTAGAATGTCATTATCGCACAGAAAGTCGTATAGCCCAATCAGTTGCAGCTTCCCAGCGTTGTTATGCAGGATGCAAGACAAGGATTGACTCAGTCACCAATGCCACCATAGCTGTGCTTGGTAGAACACACATGGGCAGGACATCGAATTTCACAGGTCCGCCAAGACCAAAAAATCCCCCCTCACTATCATTTGCTGCTAGAGTATTGCAAGCATACTAGCCTTGCTCACCTACTACTCTCATGACATGCGCTTCGGTTGCTTCCCACTCTAGGAAAATGGGGGCGGTATAACATCTGTTCCAACCTTAAAGATGTTCTCAAGTGCAGTGTAACGGGGCCAGTTTGATTGCCTTGAAAGTTTGAGTATGATCATGTCGACGTCCAACTCCTACGTCGTCCAGTTCTCTACTGAGTCTGTAATTCTGTTTTTCAGCCATGTTGCCTGCATTCCCAGCATCCTCATATTTGGGTGGTAAAACTCCTTTCTTCTTCGGTCTTTCTTGCTGCAAACACTTGTTAGAAAAACATATACTCTGCTTCCTGTATCCTGGATCCTCATATTGAAATCTCGAGACAGCTCGATTGGCATTTTGGCATCTCCAATCTAGCCCGACCAAATGGCGGTTCAAATACATGCACCCAGCAATGGCAGCAATTTTTCCGTACAGGCATGGACCTTCTTTGCGATTGCTGTCTTCTTTGTCGTCTTACGATGTCTGGCGCGCATTCAAACAGTTGGTATTCGGAAGTTGGAACTGGACGACTGGCTCATGGAAGGTAGCATTGGTAGGCAACAAACTCAACCCGTCAAACACAAGCAGTTTAACTATATTCTGATAGATATTTGACCTTTTGGTGCAAACATCCCCCAAAATAATCGTCATGAACACCCATATCGACCCTACGAACAACCCGACCAACTTCCCGCTCTCCCTTATCCCCGGACTCGGTAATCATGATATGGCTGACGAGTACCGCGCGAACCTTGACCCAGCCTCTGTGGAATACCAGGTTCGAGTAGCCGGATCCAAGCTCCATATAACGGCCTGGTCGTTATATGTATCTACATTGTGGTGTTTGAAGCTGTGCTTCGCAGTTTTTTACACCCGACTGACGTATGTGGTCTATCAATCGGTGTGGCAATAATCGCTTACGGACCCAGGGCTGGTCTTACACACATGAGAATTCGTGTCTACATAGCTTATGCGGCCATCAGTGTGACGTATGTTGCGGTCATGGCGACCCTGCTTGGATCCTGTCAACCGTTCAATCATTATTGGCAGATTCATCCTAACCCAGGAAGTATAACGCCCGCCCCTGTCTACTGAGTGAGCAGTTGCTGACTTCATCTCTAATTAGACCAATGCACGCCAGCAATTTCAACCGTGAACTGCTTAGTCGTTGTCGTTCTTGACGTATTAACCGACATCTACCTTCTCCATATCCCGCTCTTAGTATGTCACTGAGTCTACTCTGATATAGTTTACGTCAACTGACACGCTCTGAAGATGCTGTGGGACGCCAAGCTCTCCCGGCTGAAGAAGTTCTTTCTGATTGTGCTCTTCAGTGGCGGCATCTTTATCATTATGGCTGGCATAATTCGGGTCCACTTCATCCTCGCTCCCGGACGAAAAGGAGGTTTAGCCGCCGCGTACTGGGGTAAATGTGAGATTCTGGTCGCCTTCATCATCGGAAATGTTCCCATGATCTATGGTGGATTCACAGTTTTGCTTCGGCAATCTAAGGATTCCAAGGTCTCGGCGAGAATGAGATTGAAGACCAAGGGCTGGTTAGGGGCAGAAAGATTCACCAGTATATTCTCCTGGGCCGCCCGCACCAGGAGTCATACATGCCATGAAAAAACCGCCAAGCCTCCGATATCTGTCGTCCTGGGTGCTACAGAAAGCAACGCTTCAGCGGTGAAGCAACACACGCGGTCATCAACGCCATGGGCTCATCACGGATCAGAGAATCGTTTCGCCACCAATATCGACAATAGCGAAACGCAACACGCTGAGATGGACTCAGAATTAGGCATCCACGTCACGCGAGGCATCCGGGTTGAAGTGGAAAGTTTGGAGAGCAGAGAAGGCAACCCGGACAGCATGGGGACCAGCACCCAAAACAGTCGAACAGATAGTGAGGCTCAGCTCGGTCAATTTATGCTCGACACTCCCTTTGGCAAGCCGGCTGCAGAAGACGTCGCTAAGCTCCCGTCGCAGGAGAAGCAAAGTCGGCGTGACCACCAAGGTCAACGACCTGGCACGTCTGACAAGCGGAATGTTACAAAGTGGATTTCCGAAGATTCTTCTGGAGAAACATGCGAGCGAAGTGAGTGGTTTTAAGATGGGGGAAAAACTGAGTGAGTATGGGAATGGAAATGGGAATACAGAGGATTTGCGGAGTTTCTTTGTTACTTTCGCACCAAATGCTAGATGGATTCCACCATTCGGGGCATGTTGGATTTTTCTTCTACAGCAAGCAGGAATGGACGACAAGCTTTGAAGTCACGGGAACCAGAGATTTGGCTGGAGACGAGGGAGAGCATAGACCAGGAAATGCAAATTATGATTCCAGGATATGGACGTATGTCCGGATACTGGGTCAGGCGTAAAAAAGGGGCACCGGGGGCGCTCGTCTACCGGGGTCCTACTAAGTATTTGCTGTAGGGTAAGTAAACCCGAGTTACCAATAGTATAGTACTAGTAACTAAGGGGCCAACACCTGTCCTCCATGGGACTCAAAGCCGGACCCTCCGTGCTGTGTGGGGGCACAAAATTGGGGCCTGGCGAGGTGCTCAGGGAAAAGTCAGGCTACTGTGCATTGCGAAAGTGTTGCAATTCCTTGGCGCTACCCTCGAATTGCTGGCGCTGCGGGGCAGAATTGCGGTGTGGGCAGAGGATGGCCATTTACCACCTAATTATCGTAGTAGAATGCCCAAAATTGCCCAGATAGTAAAATTGACTCTCTTGTGACCTTGCTGCCGAAATTTCGAGATAGAAAACCATGGTGTTGAATCCGAAAGCCCGTAAACCCCTTGGCGGGCTGGAGAACTGAGGGCTGTCATTTCTAGACCCGCCTACTCCGTATTGATGCCTAGAACTCGCCTATCTCCAGGTTGGCGATGTCGATCTGCCAGGAAGAGCCTTCTCCCTTTGTGTATCATTTTGTGGCACTGGAAAGCACTTGGATTCGAGCTGCCCATGTCTCACCGCAGTTTTGCTGCCATCTGGACTCAACCTGAGGGGCGACCAGACATCGCCAATATCGTCCGGGAGCAGATTGGAGAACACATCTTGGATTCGTCCGATGCGCCCAATCTGGATAGACCTCTAACCTCCTCACTACCTCTCATCGCACTTTTCAAAGTTATTTTCGACCTCCAAAGGACATATTATCAATGTTCGACTGCCCAGGTCGAGTCTGCACATCTTCTACCGACTCGGCTACTCCGTCTCGCTATCATTTACCTTCTCAGAATCAAGTGCAAAGCCCTTCGAAGCGGTTCAACACTCTATGCGGCCCAACGAAGCTTCCTGGCTCGAGTGCTAATATCAGGACTTCGGGCATTATGGTTGGCACTCGGGTTCCACAGGTGTGACCTCCCCGACGAATCGGTAAAGGAGCTTAGCATTGCATTCGACCAGGCGTGGACTATACCAAACCCAGCTATTGAGATTGGCCGTCAGCACAAGTGTGATCAACCTAACTGTCCGAATAATGATTATTACTACTATAATCTCTCTTGAATAGGCTATTTGAAGCTTAATATAGCTGATATTCGCGAGTAGAGAGATGCTATAAAGAATGACCCTGCTATTAATATCTATTATCCTCCTCTAGGGGTGCTAACCTAGTTGATTAAGGGTTATAAAAAGCAGAAGGAGCAGAATCAACAGCCTCCTGTTACTCTACAGCCTTTAATATCTACTACAGCTTCGTCGACAGTAGCTGGCCAAGGGATAACGCTCAATATCAATCTCTTAAGGAGTCCTCTGCCAGCTACTCCTATCCATGAAAACGCAGATAACAGGGCTCAAGATACAGATATAGATACCCTAGTTCTATCTGCTATAGCGCCAGCGTTAGCGCTACCCTTACCAAGTAGCCCTATCTCACAGGCTAGAGATAAGGATGCCCAACTACTCGCCTTCATTTAGGCTTGAATCCGTGCTCAACCTGCGCGCTGTGCTGCATTTAATCGTGTACAGGACCTGCTGATAAGTTCTAGCGTAGGTTTTTCAGATTTGGCTAGTTTGAGTAACGAAGAATGAAAGGATATTAGTATCAACGTTAATATCAAGATAGATTTGCTAAAAAACAACAAGATATAGCATCTATAGTATCCGGAGGCTGTTAATAAGGTTGTAGAGCATCTCCTAAGTAAGCTTGATCTTAATATACCTGAAGAGAGCAAAGGCAACAAGCTCTAAGCTTGTAAATAAAGGATAGTTGATATTAAGGAGTATATATAGATATTAAGAAGTATATTAAGTTTACATATATTGTCATTTATTTTGTATAAGAACATATATAAATTTAATTACTAGAGTATATTTAAGTTACTAACATATATATAAGCTCACAAAATTTAATTCTAAAATTTTACTTAAATAGAAAATCTGTGCTAAGACTTAGGCTTAGCAGGATATTATAACTTAATACTATAAATTCTATTAAAATAACAGTTTGCTTTTTGACAATTATAATTTAACTATAATAGCTACTACTACTTCTATATTATTAATTAATAACTCTTTATCTGTATTATCTCTCTATAACTTTATAGCGCCTTAAGCGTATTATAAGGCATGTTAATAATGGTTTTATTAATACAAAAATAATAATAGCAAAAGTAATTCTTTATATACTTCTTAATGCTACAGAGCTGCATAACAAGATAAAAAAAGCCCTTATACTAGTCAGAAAACTGCCTTGTAAGCTCTTTATTTGTTGTGGTAGTGCGCCAAGGCGCCTGCAGCAGATAGCTTGCGGCTGAGCCTGCGCTTCTGTAGAAAATTAACACTCTTTCTACATTATTCCGTCTTATTTATGCTTTTAATAAAGAAAACAAGAATTTAATAGGATTAAAGTTAGGAGAGTAAGGAGATAAATATATTAATTAAACGCCTGCCTCTTAGTATATATCTCTTAGCTCCTATATATAAATATCAGTATTAATAGTAAATATAATGTTAAGAGCTTACTTGACTATAATAAGCGCTATAGTTATCTATAATTAATACTAACTGTGGCCTAAGATATAGATTTATCTTTATTAATAATTTTTAAATAAATATATTAAATCTCTTGCAGTTAAAGCTGCTATAGTATATCTTATAATCAAGATATACCTTAATCCCTATAGCTAGCAAGATGCTCTATCTTCTTAAGCGCCCATTTAGTACTATTACTCTGCATAGTACGCTGCGTAAAGACTAACCTCTTTTACAGTCTTTTGTGCGCTCATGCGCAGCTGATTCGTCAACGAATATAGCCTCCTTAGCACGAACTTCGTATATCTGAGCTCTATAGTAGTCTCGCAAGTCTTCATCTCGCTCAGCAGCTTGACGCTCAACCTACAAAGTAAGTCCGAATTTGTGCGAATTAGAATGATAAATACTAACAGCTTTCTGGGTGATCTTCTCCTTTGCCAGCGTTCGACAGACAGTTGATTTCGATACTTCTATATCATACTCCTCATCTAGAAACGCTACCATTTCGTCTAGATACGAGAGCTTCTTCTCCGAGCCGTTATCCAGAAGCCAATCAAGGAGGCCCTCAAGCGCCTCTGGAGTGATTTTTTGCGGCCTACCCATCTTCGCTTGAGGCGCTGGCCGTGGCTCTCCGAACGTATCAATATTCTGCCGGATTCGGCCCACAGTTGAAGCGTGGCATCGAAATCTATAAGCTATTTCTCGTGGTTCTACGCCTGTAGCAAGCAAAAGGGCCATTTCGTCGACGGTCGACTTCGAAAAGCGCAGTTTGCTCATCGCGAACTCAACACCAAGGGCCAGCAGTTGAGATAGGGCAAGAGAAGGGCGTCAGCGAGGTCTATGAGCAATTTCAAGCAATTTCTACGCGTTCTACGGCCCTAGGGAGCTATTCCTACATCTCACCGCAATTCTGCCCCGCGGCGCCAGCAATTCGAGGGTAGCGCCAAGGAATTGCAACACTTTCGCAATGCACAGTATGCTCAGGATAGCTCACACCTGACTCAGGACGGGCTCAGGCAAGCATCGCCACCCCTCAGGGCGGCTTGGTTGTTGTTCAGTGCTGCTTAGTCATTGCTCAATTTCAACCCCGTTACGGTCAGGTCGCAGAAATGGAAATACGTAGTAGGGTTTACTACGGCATCAGGCACAAATAAATGTTAGCTTCACGGTAGTAATAAGTATTCGCCACTCATAACGCCCTTGATACAGATACTTGACGCCCTTGTACAGTAGCGCCATCGCTACTCTGCGCAATGCTGGGCACTCTGTCCTAAATACGACAAGGTTATATACGTGGCGTTGTATATTCACATGGCGTTAATAACACGAGATTAAAATTATTTATGCCTCTTACGTGAAGTCAAGATTTGTCTGCGAGTATAGTGGCGTACACTTGGGATCAACACCCAACAGGATGAGTGGGCTGTAATCCTTCAGGCTCTTGAGGTAAAAGGGTATGTAGTAAAGCTCGCAGAACATCTATGAAATACGATTAGCTCCAAATAACCCCAAAAGGACTTTTGGGAATGCTGTACTAGTAGCCTTGCATGACTGTGCCCGTGTAGCAGCCAAGGTTGAATAAGAGTTGAAGATTTTCATGACGAAGGAACTTGCTCTGTAGGCTCCATAACGCTTCCATACAATTTGTTGTAGCAACGCAGGTGAAACAAAATCTAATCGGCACCTGTGTCCGCCAAGTCGACCACGAATATTTAGCGCCGCCCCACGCTGTGCCACCTCAAAGAAATCCTGCTATCCAATCCGCTAACAAGCACCACCCTCTCAAATAATATCGGTTTGCGTGAAATCCCATTACTAATGGTACGGTCAGAGGGCCAGTTCCGCAGAACGGAAAGTTTAAGTAGTAGATAGGATGTCCCTTATCAGAGGCTCGAACCTAGAGCCCAATTGGCACCTAAGTAAATGGGCCTTGGCGGACTAGGACCATGCCAGTCAGAATCACCAGTCCCAAAGCGAGAATACCTCCACCTCCACCTCCAAACCCTTTGAGTTGTGCGACCAGCCCAAAGGTGATCAAATCTCTAGGACCAAGAAAGACCGATTGCGTCAAGGGATAGGCTGCTCCAGCCCAAAAGATATCTGTCATGTTACTATGAAGATCGCTTGCGATAACCTGAAATGTTTATTCTCCGTGTATCGTTCTGGCTACGCATTCCAGACACTTACAGGCAGCACAGGTATCAGAATGAAAGCGGCCAGAGCGACCAACAACGATACTATAGCAAGAATAATAGTTATTATCTCTTCATGTTTGCCAGTTTTCCATTCTTGATCTGACGCCGTGTGCTCTTGCTGTGGTTCCTGACAAGCAACCCGCTTGTTAGAACCCTCTGCATCAAATGATTTCTTCTCATTAATCTTGCCAGGAATTGCTTAGTCATTCGTGCTTCCTGTGATCATTACTTTGGGTTGTTGAGTGTCGTGACTTGTATATGAACTGGGATTTACGACATGACTGTCCATAATGGGGTTTGCTTTGGAGAATACAAGCGGACCAGCGCAATTAAGCGTCCCTTCTTCCAGGAATACTTGCAAAGGAGATCTATCAAGTAAACAAAGTAGGTCGCTTGGATGTAAGGGGAGCCGTCGGAGAAGACCCTCCACACCATTACTGTATGACCTCTGGAACATTGGGTTTCATAATATGACGTAAGGAATCAGTCGGTGGTCAAATCCTTTGGCCCAAAGGAGCCCTGCCGATCCGAAATGCCGCCAGTTAGTTGCTCCTGTGGTAAGTGAGCTATTGGTTATTCTCCGCCCGGCCGGTTGCATTGAACGCAAGGCTTGGTCGTTAACGCTGCCAAAAGCCTTGCCGATGCGACCGTTTTCTTTGGACTCGTGGTGAATCCAAGTTTGTGCGTGCGATCGAAGGATGGAATATAATCGCATAGATTTGGAAGCCGCCCGTCCAGTCCAGCCTCATCTCTCCAACATAGTAGCTCACTATTACTAGTAGTTTCGATGATCTCATCTTACGCAGCTCGAAGCAACGAGCTTCAACGCGGATTTTCAATCTGCGATTCAACATGATGAATAATCTTTCGCACAGGTCATACTCATCAAGGTACTTATGATTAGGGTGAACAATTCCATTATCTTTGAGCTTTTATGTGTCAAATGAATAATATTATTCAAATGAATCTTGGAGTCTTGAAGGCTCAGTGGTCTAGTGGTAGGAGTATGTGACACTGGCTACTATTTATTAATTGGTTTTATCTAATATATTTTCAGTTGTCGCTTCGGGTGAAAACCCTGCAAGGTACATGCAAATGTGACAGGTCCCGCGTTCAATCCGCGGCTGAGCCCTGAGAATTTTTTTAACACCCTCCTTCTATGTTGTCGGCGGTGTTAGCCGATTTTGCACATAGGAATGTCATCTGTAGTAACAATGCCTTACAAAAGAGGGTGCATCTGCAGCTGGAAACGATAGGCTCATGGGGTCATGACTTTGGCCCCATCCAGGGCAATCCGCCTGGGACTTAGGCGCTAACCCCAGAGACAGGTTTATTGACCACACTAACGTGACAGCCCATGTGATGCATCCCCCTTAAAGGGAACCTTCATAGGGGCGCATTCTTGGGGGGCGCACATTGAAATCGTCAATCCTTTAGTCCTTTCACTCCTCGCTCATTATAGTATCATCTTCGAAATCTGCTTAACTTCCTCCTCAAGAATTGATCACAACTACTCTTCTCAATTGAACAAAGAAATCAAATCCGCAGCCAACTTAGCAATAATGTCGTCTGAACAAAGCTACGACTACTCTTATGAGCAATTTGTCCAAGATGACCTGCCCAGCCTCGACCTGTTTGACCTACCCGACCTCGACCTGGTTGGCGGCTCTTCTATGACTTCAATTACCGACACTTCCTTCTACAAGTCCCAGGAGAAGTGTCTGACCGATTCACAGCAAGGCACTTCGGAACAGAATCAACAATTCAAGATGATAAGCGACACTCCTGGTAACGTTGAATTTGACGCAATTGCGACACCGCAGCCCTCTGCTCCAAGCAACTCTACTCAACTAGAACCTGCAGCGACCTTCAAAGGAGCTGGAGAGTTGGTCCTTGGTGTTGGAAGTCTTCGCAGCCTGCAAGATGAATTCCAGGCATTCGACAATACCGCTGGTCACTCTCAGTTGGGCGGGCCTGAGGCAGCGCAGCTTTCTCTTTGTGACATCTACGGCGTTCCTCCAACCAATCTGGCAACGCCTAACAACATGGCGCAGAGGGCGTTCTTAGCCGCTCCACGGATTGGACCAATCGATGTGAGTTTTTTTTTTAGACCGACGCTAACGAGGCGCACAGCGTGTTACGCGTCCAGAAGGCACCACACCAGATGTGGATAGAGACATTGAAAAGGAGTGGTCTGGGCCCCAGAAATGTTACTGGCGAGACTGTGCCTCGAAGGCAACTTTCCGTTCTCACTCATCTCTGAAGGCCCACATTAGACACATTCATGTCACTCCCTTGGTCTGCACACATCCAGAATGTTCTTACAAGAAGCCTTTTGGAAAGCCATGCGACCTCAAAAGACACCTAGCGACTATTCACAGCACTGAGCGTGGATATCAATGTCTTGAAGACGACTGTCAAGAGGTGTTTTCCCGCAGAGACAAGATGATGAAGCACGCGAAAGAAAAACATGAGCTTTTCAAATGTCCTTACGGCCATTGCTCCGCAACAGTCTTTGCGGTTCAGAGGGAGTCGCATTTGCGAGAGTCCCATGGCCGTTATGAATGTGCGACTGGTTCTTGCAGCTTAGGTTATAGGTCGTGCTTCACGAGGGAAAACCTTTTACGACATCTGCGGACCTGTCATCGAATAACATACGATCCGAGTTTAAATACAGTAAATCACCTATCCGCAGGTACCAAGGAAGACGAAGCTTTGTATGCTGATGTTCCTTTGCGCCCAACATACCAAGATTGTGCATCTTGCATGCCGAAGAGCAGCAATGAACAGTAGTCGCATCTTGATCCGATATCAATTCGGACGTCTGCAGGTTCGAAATGCACGTTCAGCGTTGTTGGAAACGAAGAGGAGCTAGCAGCCACTGTATGGACAGTTGTTTTCTTTGCCACACTATGTAGTACCGTCATATTAAGGAATAACAGCTTGTCAACTCATTTTCGCATGTTACAATAGGAGTGGAAATTCTAAGCTTAGTTCACGACGCTTCAATTGCTCTAAACAGCCTAGCAGAGCTGGACGAGTTTGCGCATAGGAATGTCACCTGTACTGACAATTCCCTACAAAAGAAAAGAGGGTGTATATGCCGCCGCAAATGACGGAGCCATGGCCCTGGCCTTTCAAAGCCCGAAACTTACCCCAGCGGACCGAAGGACCCTTTTACTAGGGCATAGCTGTGCAAACCTGCGCTTAGTTTGCCCTGAGCGTGTCATAAGCAGCCTGATTGCAGCTAGGAGAGCCCTTAAAACCCATGTAATGCCTATCCACCAAACCGCGGTAAAATGCAGTAGTTAACAGAGCTGCTAATTGGATGATACTACGGGGCGCCAAGATTACCTTAACTGAGTATAGGCCAATAAGACGCCCTGGTGGAAATCTTTATTTACCATGAGCTAACCATATTCGGAAGTACAACAAACAACAGCAAAACTCCTTCTATTTACTATAAGAGTAGTAAATGTCTATCCCAACAACGCGATTTGTAGCAGATAGGGATATTGCATTTATCACAGGACCATATTGAACGTCGAATGCCTTTTTGGCTCTTTCTTGCTCTGTGGGGGG